GGAGTACGAAAACAACAACAACAACAACAGCAACAGCAACAGCAACAAATGAAACGAATGAGAATCGAGTCGCTTGGCCATGCTCAAGTCTCTCTGTGAGGTGCTCGGGCGCAAAAGGCGCAACGAATCGACGCGTCGGCCAAATTGTTCGCACGCTTCTCTCGCCCCGCGCGCTTCATGTGTTTGGCTAATGCGTTGCGATTTTCGCGCATTTTCTTTTATTTTTCAATTACTTACAGCAGCCCAGCACAGTCGCTTCGCTTCAAGAAGAAGAAGAAGCAGTTGAAGCAGCAGCAACAGCAGATGGGGAAAAAAGTTGATCGCCTGTTAGTTGGAATCATCTTGGTTCTTCCATCAATGTGCTTTGTCAATTAATTGATTGCGCTTCGATGATCAGCAATTGCAATTGCAATCACAGCAATCCCAACAACAACAGCAACAACAACAATAATAACTGTCGTATTTTGCGCTTAAATATGTGCAGCTCAATTGGCCATCGGCCAAGATCATCTTACCCATCTAATGGCATCGTGCAACAACTCTCATCGCGCCCAGGTGATTGTCTTACGGTGTCTCCTGTCTGTCGCCGCGTCTCGCGTAAAAGTTGTTCCTTTTCTTATGTCTGCTGCCATTCGCAACGCTTGAGGGTCTGACCAACTCGCCTCAACAATTCATTTATCATATTTGGTGCCAATAATGACTCTTCCCTCAGCCGATGTACCGCAAGGCCGCTTGACCCACATGCAACGAAATAAAGACCGATTTGCCTGCCGATATCAAATGGCTTACAATTCACTCTTTCACTTCTCAGCTTCACTGTGCTCGTGCACTATGCTACCTTTAACTGATCCTGATCCTTCAATCGTAGTCCGCCCGTCCATTCATTCCTCCTTCTGTTCGTGCATCCCTCCGTCCGTCTGCTCCTCCTTCTGTTGGTCTATCCGTCCGGTCGTCTGTCCGTCCGTCTGTCCATCTGTCTGTCTGACTGTCTGTTCGTCAGCTCCTCCCACTGTTGGTCTATCCGTCCTTTTGTCTGTCTATCCGTCCGGTCGTCTGTTCGACTGTTCTTCAGCCCATCTGATCCTGCTTCCGTCCGTTCTTCTGCCCATCTGATCCTCCTTCCGTCCATCCTTCTCTTCGCCCGCCAACCTGTCCTCTTGTCCCCTCACAAGCTTGACGTTACAGTTAGATTCTTGTTTACAAAATTTCATCAAACTCTTCCTCTTTTTTCGTAGCATGCATATCTGATATCAGTTCAGCTCGAAGTCGACTTAGATAGGCCTTAACTCTCTATACTCAACTGAATAACTAGCCTAGCTGTACTCTACTAGACTCTCGGCAATCATTTGTGCTGGCTGCCCTTTGAGTATTTAGCCAAGTAACTAATGCATAATGTAGCAGATATTGGCGCAGTCATTGCGTGGACACGCACCTTTCTCGTATGTCTGTCGACTATTGAGATGGGGCAAGTCAATAGCCCAAGTCGTAGTAGCAGCAGCAGCAGCAGCAGCAGCAGCGACCAGGCGCTGTTTGTTATTTGCATGAGAAATGTGTCGTGGACAGTCGTCGGGCTAAGCAAGTGCGAAAGCGACAACTGACAACGGACAAGGGACATTAGACAGCTGGACAGTTGGACATTTGGACACTTGGACACTGGCGAGGCGAGTGTGGAGTTGAGCTTGGAGAGTCAGTGTCGGCAGTGTCAGCATCGCATCTGAGGTTGTGTTCGACGGCTGCACTCTGAAGGCAGTCAACCGCATCATCAGCTCATCATCGATCACGGCGACTCCGTGGTCCGCAACGAGAGTCTCAAAACCCAATGCCAATGGCCTGCAGCCAAGTGCATTAGAGAGATGCCTCTTCACCCTTGCTCTCCCTCTCTCTCTCTCTCGCTCTCTCACTCTCTCTGTGTGTGTGTAATGCCCAGTAACAGTAATTTGGTGTTTTACTTGTTCTTGCGCGCCAGCAATCACACCTATGGGAATGTTTCTTACACATGTCCAATGCCACGACCAATGCAATGAGGCAGCGTCTACAAAATTCCAGCATGCACTTTGAACAACATTTTCCTCAGGTCTTTCGCACTCACCCTGCCCCTGCCATCCAACTGCCAGCACCCAGCCTCCGCGCGCTGCAGTCGTCATCATTGCATCGTCGCAAGTTGCATCATTAAAAATTTATCAGTTGATTGGAAAATTATAATTCTTTGCTTTTACGCTTCGCACAGTGCTATGATTTTTATAAGTCTTACCGCCTTAGCCACCTCACCAGCCCCAACGCCTCTCAGCGCCCAACTCTGTCGGCCTGTTATGTAATAACTTTTGCTACGATCTTCACCGTTTGTGTTTCTGTTTCTGATTCTGAATCTGTGTGTGTTTTTTTTTTCTCTCCGTCTTATGGTCACATTTAATAACTGACTCGACGACGACTGTGACTGTCTATCGCGTCCATCCGTCTCTAAGTCAATCTGTCTGAATGAATGACTGACTTACCGACTATTACGAGCGCTTCGGTGTCTCCCCACTCCGCCAACCAACTCGTTCTCTCATCTCATCTGTACTTCTTTTTTATATTTATTTATATATATATATAATCTTTTCTTTTCTTTTCCTCTTTTTTGCCAGCTGTAGATGCGGAAATAAACGCGCTCGGATTCTTTGACTTGTTACATAAATCGTAATTTTCCATAGCCTCGTTCTAAGTATATCTAATGTATATTGCATTTAGCTACTCGGTTTTTCTATTTGCCCATCGCCGTTGAGTTGAACTTGGTGGGGTCTCTTGGACTTGCTGCAGTCGCAGTCGCAGTCGCAGCCGCAGAGTACATAACTCACAATCGCACATGTCATTGGGCATTTCTCGGTCGCACTTGAACTTCCTGCATGACCAGCGCTCGCTGTGGCAGTTCACAAGCTCGTCTCTTGAACCGCACTAGGTGGGGTCTGTTGTGGTCCCATGATGTGATTAGCCGCTTTAGCGGTACAGTTCTGCCTTCTTTTTTCATTCATTCGTCACCTTTCCCCTGGCCATTTGGTCGGTCTTTTACCCACGAACTGGAGCTAAAAAAAAAAAGAGAAAAAAACTCTTCACAAATTAGTGAGAACCCAAAAGTACAGCTCAACACTTATCGGACTAACAATGAGTTAGCAGCTTGCCTTTCATGTACTGCAAAAAGCAAGTTAGTTGATATTGCCATAAAATATAAGACTTAGTAACTCTCTGCTAGGCTAACTCTGGGTTGCCAGCTCCGAGCTTAGCTAGCTCCCAGTAGCTGCAGCTGTCTTACTTTAGCTGATATAACAGTAAAGTCTTATGTCACTGCCTGCCTGAAGACCTAGTCAATTAGAAGCTCCTGCCGTGAGCTGTTGCCAATGCCTAGGCGCCATGGTCTCTGCTGCACTCAGCTCATCGACAATTCTCAGTTTTTGACAGCGTTTTCGAACTTCTAGCTCCCCAGCTAAGCTAACTCAGAGTCCTTGCTTTATTGAAACCCCTACCCGGATAGCTATCCAAGCCTTTGTCTCTGTACTGTTGCCTAGTCTCTCCCCAGTCTCTGCTAGCAGCTCAAACCAAACTCAGTTCACTCTAAGTCCTCGCCTCTGCTCTGCTCTACTATCAAGACCAGCCTCAGCTCTTGCTTAGCTGGCTTTAATCCCGTTCTGGATACTAAGGCCAGGTCCTGGCTTATCCTTAAGCAAGCTCATTTTCTGCTCCAAGCTCCCTCTCTCTCTCAACTCTTAGTAACTGTTCCGTTAACAAGTTAATTCTCACTTTCTGCCCAGCTGACTTTCTATCCTTGCTCAAGCGCTAAACTAACGCTTAATCGCTGCAGGCACTAGGCTAAGTGTCAGTCCCTAAGCCTGAGCTAACTCTCAGTTGCTAATCGATCTTAGCTGCTAATCGACAGGCAAGTCAGTTCTTAGTCTCTGCCCAGTCAACTCTTAGTTCCTATTCTCGCAGTCGCAGTCGCAGTCGCAGTCGCTTGTCTGTCAGCGCTCAGTGTCTGCCTAACTTTCATTGCAGTCCCATGCAACGAGCTAAGTGATTATTTGTGCTCAGTCGCTGGTTTTTGGGTTGCACAGAATTTTTCAATTAGCATTCGCATAATGCAGCTGACAATCTATTGAGAGGCGCAACCCACAAGAATATTCACTTCCGCAAGTCAACTCAACAGCAGCTCAATTCATTGCCAAAAATCGTAGCGTATGGCTAAAAGAGAAGTGTGGCAGATGTGACGTGCAGACAACAGTCACTCAGCGAGGCGGCGAGCCGAGCGAGCGACCCCATTTGGCCAACGCTAGCATTCAGTTTGCAGTGGGCCTGCGAAATTCCACAGTGTGACAGCGCGATCAGGCATTTAAAAGCCTGTCAACAAAGATCTGCACAGTGGCCCAAGGAGTAGCACATTACATTATTATACAACACTGCGGGCACACGCCGTCGTCGCCGTCGTCGCCGTCGTCGCCGCCTTTCGCCCTAGCCCCGAAATCTTGAAAAGCAATTAGCAAGAGCCAAAGCCAAAGTAAATCTCAAACCTCAGCCGATGCCCAATTGCAATGCCACAAATACTAGCTCTAGATGGAAGAACAAAAAAAAAAAAGAAACAAAAAAAATGTAGAGAGAGACAGAGAAGCTACAGAAGCGGGACTTATCAGCAGACGGCAGCAGAAAGCAATTCTGCGGCTGATGGTTTCGCAGAAAATTGCAACTTGCGGGTAAACAAAGTCAACTGCCAAAGAGATGGAGCCGAATGCATACGAAGGAGTGTAGAGGCGGGCGCACTCGGACTAGTCAAACTGAAGCTGAGACACACGCCAAAGCATGGCAAGGCCCGTGGCTCTTCATGTGAATGTGGGTGCGCAATTATGCCGCCACAGCAACAGACTAACCATAAATTTTCTTATCAGCCCCAGTGCAGAGAGTACAGGAGCGTATTCGAAACTGGATCCAGGCGAAGCAATCGAGACTTCAGTCTCTGGAAAATATTTATGTCAACGAGCACACTTAAATTTCAGTCTTAGTTGTATAAACAGTCGATTCCTATTCTAATAAAAGTTATTTACAAATTATACGAGACAGACACATTGAGAGAGGGTCCAGCACGACAAGATGGATTTAACTATAGACGAATCAGTGGAGAAGATGATTGAGCGCATGGAGAATTGTGACAAAATTCCAGTTGATTATATGGATCTGTTGAGTCATCGTGTGAGGTGTCGCAAAATCGAGATCTTTCACTATGACGACAAGGTCAGCTTCACGCCCGACGATGCCGAGGAGGAGCAGGAGCTGAGCTTGGATCAATTAATGAGCGACGATCGCACCGACGATGAGGATCGCACCATGAAACTCGTTGGCGACCTGGATTGCCTAATACGCCGCATCGAGCAAATGCAATTGGCTATTAAGCGTCGCAAAGACTTTGTACGGCAAATGGATACTAGTGGGGCAACCAGCGAGCAGGTGTCCTCGTCAGGGACGCCCATGCCGGAGCTGGGCGTCTTTCAGTTCAAAGAGTGCATGCCCGTTAGAGCTAAAAAGGAATTGCGGCCGTATCAGGAGCAGCTGGCCACCAATGAGGTGGCCTTGAATGAGCCATATCGAACCGTGCTCAGCGCTGAGGAGGAGTTGGAGGTGCGCAATCTGCAGCATGCCCATCATCAGCTGCAGTGCGAAATCGATGAGCTGATCTGCAATTATCGTTGCATGCGAACGCTGCTCAGCACGATGCGGCGTGAGATGTGCAACGAGAATCGACGTGTACGCAAGCTGGGCGAGATGACGCAATCCTATAAAGAATGGAGTCAGAAGGTGGCCAAGGAGCTGCCCGTGTGCAAGCAGCGCTACAGCTGTATGCTGGAGAAGAAGCTGTCCAAGGAGGAGGCCAAGCACATCATTGCCGCCAACTCGGCGAAGGCGGCCAAGTACACTAAAACCTATCTGACCAAACGCCAGCTGAACTACGAGCTGCGTGAATTTAACTTGGAGATCAAGGAGCTGCAAGAGTATACGAGCGATCTGCACAACGAGATGACACGGCGCTTTATCAGATTCGAGAAAGAAGCTAACGGCAAATGCGGCAAATTTTGTGCAAAAATCTTTTGATATCTGGGGAAGTGTCGCACGACCGCTGCAGATTATATCAGTTGTCATATATAATATATCATATATCATATATTATCATACATTAAATATTATATATCATATATATATATATCTAAATATATAGTTGCTATAAGGAATGCAGATGTATTATCGTATTTCGATATATCTGCCATATGTTCATATGACTGCATAACTGTGCCATATATATATTTATCTGTCCATATGTTATATATATATATCTATCGTCGTTATCTATGTATCTATTTACCTCTATTATGTCATATACCTTATCTCTATGTAATATCTTATGTAGAGCAGTCTCCCATGTCATAATATATCACATATTTGTCATGCTATATACATATGTGTCATACATCATATATGTTTAATCGCATAGTATATAAGTATCCTTCAGCCTGCCATATCATATATCTTTTATTTCACTATCTTTTTTCGCATGTCGAATCGTATATCTATCTAGGAATATGTGCCTATGTCTTATTATATACCTATCTATTACCTATTCATCTGCCATGTCATATAATTAAGTACCATATAACATCATATATCATATATTCATCTTTCATATATATTTTCATGCATCATATATCTGAATATATGCAACACAACATATCATTTATCTACCAATCTATCAGTCCATATGTTTGTTCCCATATGTACAGGTATCTATCAATCTATCCTTTCGCCTGCCATATCATATATCTCTTATTCCACTAGCTATCTTCCCATCTACAAAATCTTATATCGATCTATCTAACTGCCCCTTACAATGTCATATATCTTAGCATCCATCTCTAACTATTTTTGCATTCACTTGTCATATTGGAAGATTTAAATATTATTCTATGAGCTGTTATATTTATAGATATTAATATTTTACTATTAACGATATTAAGTTGGGCGCTCTATCATCGCCCGCGCTGCGCTCCTGTTGTGCGCGGCTGCTTAAAGCTGAGACACAAGCTAGCAAACCACCAGCAGAAGGTAGTACATCATTTTGGACTTTATCAGCAGCAGCAACTGGCAGCAGCAGCAGCAGCAGCAGCGCGTGGGCAGCAGCGAGCAAAATTCCTATGCCGCCAACGCCAAACAGCAGCAGCAACAACAGCAACAGCAACAACAACAACTGCAATTGCAACTTAATTGAGGCTTGTCGTCTATGCAACTCGCTTGTGTGTGCGAGTGTGTGTGTATGTGTGTGTGTTAGCCAAAGTAACTGCGGTTGCTCTGCATCCGTCTTAGGCTTTGTATCTTTCTCGCTCTCTGCTCTCTCTCTGTCTCGCAGCAACAATAGTTGGGTATGCGTGCTGCGGCTGTCGCCCGTTGCGAACTTGATGCCTCGCTGCCCCAGTGCCTTGATGCTCCACAGACGAGCGACCAGACAACAACAACAACTAGTTGCAACAATAACAGCCGCATAATAACGTACTGAGGGCGTTGAGGCAACAACATGCAACAATCTGGCAAGTCAGGCAACCGACCAGCCAACCAGCCATCCAGCCAAGCAGCCAGCCAGTCAGCCAGCCAACCATCATCTAAGCTCTGCGGCTAATGCAGCTGCAGACCAAACTCTGCTAGCTCCCCTCTCTCGCTCCGCCATGGACAATTTAAGCTCATTCACTTGCCGCTGATTGCTGCTGGCGTTGGTGTTGCTGCTGCTGCTGCTGCGACTGGCAAATTCGCAAGTTCAAGTCCAAGTCCAACTCCAAGTCCAAGTGCAATGTTGTAGGGTTTCAACAAGAAAATTGCATGCGCACAGCAGCAGACAGGCTTAAAGAGCGAGCGAGAGAGAAGGAGATATAGCGAGAGTAAGCAAGCGACCGACTGCAATTTGCATTTGGCGTTTGCTGAGGCGTTTGTCAAATGGTAGCTAGCAACGCGCTTCACGAATGTGGGTTAAACCTCAGCTTTAAGCCAAAAACAAAGTAACAACAACAACAATAACAGCAAAAGCAACCACATTTTGGCCTAAACTAGTCCATATCATTGGCTTATATCGTTGCATAATCTGTGTCATTAGATGCCACCAAATCAAATCGCAATTGCCCGCCATTAAGCGAGCCATCTAACTGCATCAGTGGCGCCTTGAGGTTCGTCTGATGTGGAGCACTTGCCAAAAGAAGCTGCTGATCATATGATCTACAGTTCAAAATGCAATTGCAATCATTAGCTATGAACCGAAACGTAAGCTGAAGTAAAGCCTTCTCTAAGACAGAAAACTTCAGACTTTGCTTTTATTTTTACCAGAACTCAATTGATCGACAGTCGGAACCAAACTGAGATCGGTTTTATATATGTTTTGTTTTCTTTATATATGCTTTTCCCTTCATAGTAGATAGAATCTCTTTGAAGTGATGCTTCCTTCTCTTTCTCTCTTGATATTATTTCTCCCATCGTCTCTCTTACGCTATATTTATCTTATTCTCTCCCTCTTTAAGTGTCTATGTATTTTTTTTCGTTCACTATTCCTTTCCCTCTCTATTTCTCTGTCTCTCTTTTTCATCCTCTCTCTTTTCCCTTTCTCTGTCTCTTTCTGTCCCTTTCTTTCTATCTCCCTTTTCTCTTTTTATTCTCCCTCTTCCTACGTTCCTTTGCCTCTTTTCCACAATCTCTCTCTCTCTTAATATCTCTCTCTCTCTCTCTCTCTGTCTCTCTCTCTCTCTCTAATTACATTTCTTTCTTTCTCTCTCACCCCGTCAATCTGCCTTATCCCTAGCTTAAGTATTAAATTCTCTTACAAAATACTAGCAAAATTGTCGAAAATATTTCAGTTCCACCTGAGGAATTCTCATAGCTAAATCAATTATTTCTCAGCCAACTTAAATATATTTATTATGGTATTTTCGCCGGCTAAAACATAACTGTGTGAAGGATTTGAGGCCTGAAAGAGTTTTGTGTGAATATGTTTAGTTGGCAAAGTGGAGTCTCGCATGTCAAGTGCTCATTTGCTCAGCTGTTGCTCAACTGTTGCGCAGCTGCCATTACATAATGCCAACAACAACAACAATTTAGAGAATGCCAAAGATTCTCTCTCTCTCTACCTTTGCTGTTATTGTACTTGTTATATGCTTTGGACTTGAGCTCGTCTTGTCTTGTGGCTTATGGGAACAAAAAAAGTGTCCTGGGCTCACGCTTCGAGACACACGCACACACACACACACCAGTTGTAGTTGTTGTTGTTGTTGCTGATTTATTATGGTTACATCTAATTAAAACGGTTCTACAGTGCGAGCGATCGCTGCGCGCTGTTCGCTGCTTGCTCCATGGCTAAGACTCGAAATGGTTTGACGTAATGAAGCAAAATGTTCCGCACTATGGCCAATTGGTATTGGCCATAACACATGGCTGCTTAAAAGATGATGGCTGATGCCTGATGGCTGCTGTCTGCTGGCTGACTTCAAAAGTTCTATTCTCTGTCAGTCTATGGGCACAACAATTTCTGCACACTGCAGAAGAAGTCAATTAAGCCAAACGCTAAAAGGCCTCAGATAAATGACAAATGACGTGTCTCAAAACGCAAAAAAAAAGAATCAACTAGTTTTATATGCTTAAAAAGGTAGCTGGGCATGGCCAACGAATACCCTGTAACTTAAGACTGCAGGTAAAATACTTCCAAACTAATTATCTGTGCTATGCAGCTAGCTCCTAGTTGCTGATTAGCTAATTCTGTATTAGTTTATCACAATTTATAATTAAAGTTTGCTCAAGCATTGTCTACTAATATGCTGTAAACTATAACTAGAATTGATGTAGGGCTTGATAAGAGCCTACATACCAAATGCAGTAAGTCTAGCTTTTGTAAGACTCGAGTTCAGTGGGTTTGATGGCCTAGGAAATTCTTAATGTTAAAGCAAAGAGAGAAATTTGAGCGGTTTTTTGCTAGATTAAAGATAATAGAAGAACGCTTGGAGCATTTATTAAATTGATATATCGATCAATATCTATAGCTACCCTCTATATACAGCTATATATTCTATCTATCTATCTGTATATTTGCCGTTCAATCGACTATAAAGTCTGCTATTAGGCATTCAGTAGCAAGCTAAGTGAGTATACACTTTCAATATATTCGCTGTGATTACAGGGTATATAGAGAACTAAAGTCAATTTGGCATTCGTGACTCGTCTGGTCAGCAGCACTCGTGTCAATATAATTTCCAACATAGAAATATCGCACAACAAGTGCAAATGCAATTAGTTCCAAGCTTTATTTGTTTAAGCGAATGCCGACACACACACACGCAGACGCAGACGCATACACCTGGATTTTCTTTGGAACTTGCAACAGGTAGTCGCGACTCTCGGCCTGTTTGTGGTATCAGTTGGCAGCCTTATAATTGCCCAGATTATTTCTCTCCTATTTGGCCTGCTCAGCTTATTAAGATTTCTAAAATGTTTGCCCCAACTCGAATGGAAGCAGCAGCTGCAGCAGCAGCAGCAGCAGCCGCTCGTTGCCTTGTAATCGATAATTGCCTATCGATTAATGCTCGCAATTCGGGAACAATGCCAAAATGAAATCGCTGCTGCTCAGTGGCGCCGCCATGCTAATTATACGGTCATTTATGGCAACTGCAATTTGTCGTTCTTTCTACCTCTATCTCTCTCTCTCTCTCTCTTCCTCTTTCACGCCCGCTGCATACTTTTGGGCTGGTATTTAATTTGTGTGGTTAGAGCCATAGATGGTGTTTCTATCTATATACAGGCATTTCTTCTGCTATAGCCTTATATTTAGGAAAGTGGTTCTAACCACACACATATATATCCATATTTAAGCAATAATGCTTTTGTTTAAATGTATGTCACAGACAGAAGCAGGCGTAACAGACTCCATAAAAAATATATGTGTATATATATATACTTAAGATGTATATTTCGAACATTTAATTTCATTTCGAATTAGTATTTTTAACTGAAAGTGCCAAAGAAGCGTAGAATGCTTGAAATAGCACTTCTGCGCAGGGCTCCGGGTATATTATAGTCGGGCACTCCTAATCAGCTCTC